GTCCCGCCTTAGCCATGAAAGCCAGGTAGGTGATTTTGGGCCAATCCCCAGGCGACAGGGAGTTCTAGTCCCGCCTTAGCCATGAAAGCCAGGTAGGTGATTTTGGGCCAATCACCAGGCGACAGGGAGTTCTAGTCCCGCCTTAGCCATGAAAGCCAGGTAGGTGATTTTGGGCCAATCACCAGGCGCCAGGGAGTTCTAGTCCTACCTTAGCCATGAAAGCCAGGTAGGTGAGTTTGGGCCAATCACCAGGAAACGTTGAATTCTAGTCTAACCTTAGGCAGGAAAGGCAGCTGGGTGACTCTGCACCAATCATTAGGTGAGAGGGAGTTCTAGTCCCACCTTAGCCATGAAAGCCAGCTGGGTGACTTCGGTGACTTTGGGCAGATCACAAGGCAACAAGGAGTTCTAGTCCCACCTTAACTAGGAAAGCCCAGGTGGGCACGTTTCGACCAATCACCAGGCGACAAGGAATGCTAGTCCCACTTCAGCCAGCTGGGTGACTTCAGTGACTTTGGACCAATTACCGGGCAACAGGGAATTCTAGTGCCACCTTAGCCATGAAGGCCGGCTGGGTGACTTCGGACCAATCGCTAGGAGACTGTGAGTTCTAGCCCCTCCTTAGGCAGGCAAGCTGGATGGGTAATTTTTCCCCAGTCCTTCTCTCTCAGATTAACCCACTTTACAGGGTTGTTGTGAGCAAATAGTAGGAGGAAGGTGTGTTGGATCTCTTCCTGGCCTTGAATTATTTGTACAGGAAAATAAAGGTGTGATACGAATGAATCAACAAACAGAACCCGACTAATGGGCAGTGGCCCAGTGGTGCGAAGGAGGAGGTTTTTTTTTGAGGAATCAAGATGTTCAAAGTAGGCGCATGGAAAACGGAGTCCTATCTCTGCAGCCACGGAGGCTTCGTTTTTAGAAAGGAATTTCCAATAACAGAGATAACGTAGACAAAGCAGACGATGTCGTCAGATATTTGGAAGCTGGAATTATCTGGGAAGAAAGGCTCACCTTTGCTGGGATTGTGTAAATCCATCCCTTTATCTCTGGTGTTTCTCAACCTTCGGGAATTTATGACGGGTGGACTTCAGGTCTGAGAATTGCACAGCCTAAAGGATTTAAGAGGAGTGGGCTTCCACTCCCAGAATCCCCCAGCCAGCATGCTTTAAGAGGGGAGGACTTCCACTCCCAGAATCCCCCATCCATCAGGCTTTAAGAGGGGAGGACTTCCACTCCCAGAATCCCCCATCCATCAGGCTTTAAGAGGGGAGGACTTCCACTCCCAGAATCCCCCATCCTTCAGGCTTTAAGAGGGGAGGACTTCCACTCCCAGAATCCCCCATCCAGCATGTTTTAAGAGGGGAGGACTTCCACTCCCAGAATCCCCCAACCAGCAAGACAGGTGTACTTCAACTCATGCTAGCTGGGGAATTCTGGGAGTGGAAGTCCTCCCCTCTTAAAGCCTGATGGATGGGGGATTCTGGGAGTGGAAGTCCTCCCCTCTTAAAGCATGATGGATGGGGGATTCTGGGAGTGGAAGTCCTCCCCTCTTAAAGCATGATGGATGGGGGATTCTGGGAGTGGAAGTCCTCCCCTCTTAAAGCATCCTGGATGGGGGATTCTGG